AACCTAACGCCTATGGGTGTTTGAGGGTTCTGAGAGAAACAACTTCCTCACTGACAAATTTTCTTTGCAAATAAAGTGAACAGACACTCCCAACAGTGCCTTCAGCGACTCCCTTGCTGCTTTGACTCCTTCTCGCAGGTCTCTGAGGCCTGACTGCCTGGAGTCTCTAGAGCACTGGAGGCAGCTGTCATTGGGCCCAGGGTCCCAGTCCACGAAACTGCCTTTGGCTAAACTCCATTCAAACCACACTGATTGGCTACCTATAGGGCTTGCTATAACTCTTCATTCCCTGCCCCTTAGGCTCTGGATAAAGAAGCAGCACCCCTCAAGCGTGCCGCAGCCCCTGAGGGTTTTTCAAGGTTGGGGGAGGGGCAGACTGAGCCTTCTGGTGTGTCCTTTAGGCAGGAGATTTGGGTCTCTGTTTCCTATCTCCTGCCAGATGTTGTGATGGTGTGTGTGGGGCGGGTTGATCTCTCCTCACAGGCTCACTGTCTACTGGGGGAGCCCTTGAAATCCACTGATTAAACGTCAACAGGATCTCATAGGCTATGCAAGTGGCACCCCTCAGCTTAGGTGTGGCTGCACTTCCGCCCATAGCCCGCCGTGCCTGATGGCGGGTGGAGCCCAAAAAGTACTTCTCTTGGCCGCCTTTCAGCTGCTCGTCTTAGCACTGGGTACTCTGGCCAGTGGGGTGACATTTATTGCAAGCTGTTGGGCCTGCCTAAAAACGATCCCCTGCAGGGGAAAAAAACCTCTGAGAACGTCTTGCCTCACAAATATCCAAAGTATGAATCAAAATCACACATGTCTCTGCTTATACGAAGGCCCCAGCACAAGGCCATGCCAGGCCGCACCTTAGTCCTTGGTGACTGTAGGCATTACTAAGAGGAATTGAGCACATGCCACACCCCAGCACTCAGTGGCCGGAAACAGAGCCATTCAATGGAGCCTTCACGTCCCTGACAACTGGTTAGCTGGGGGCATCTAGTGCTTTCCTCCAACAGCTCCTTTTAAACTCCCCATCAAGTAAACCTTTGAAGAGTTTCTATTCCCATTAAACCCTAACCTGCCTATGTGTTTTCTCTCCTTCCCCATTCCACTAGGGCAGGAGGACTGATGGCGGGGTCTGCACGTGGCTGGGATCAGGGACTGTACAGTATTCCCTAGCCCAGCAGCTGCTCTCTTGACAGGGGACCCATTTGTTCAAAAATTTCAGCAAAAAAACGGAGCATGGTATGCCCACTGCATGCCATGCTATCCATGTCAGTCTTACTCTCCTGGTTGGGCTCTTCCTTGCTTCACACTTCAGAAGCCCGGATCCTCCACAGAAGCCATCAAACATGGCCACGCTGTTTCCACATCAACAGTAATTAATGAGTCTGGTCTTGAAAGGACATGCAAGCTGTGCACATCAGACAGGTCTGGGGTAACTGGATGGCATCCCCTCTCCCCTACTGTGGAGCTATCTCTGCATAATTGCTGGCTGTTGGGTAATCCTTCTCTGCCCCATCTAGGTTAGATGTCCTCACCCGGATCCCCCAAGGGCTGCATTCTAGCATGCCAATTAGCCCTGTACTGTCATCATTTATCACCATGTCCTTCCCCTCATTGTATTCTGTTTCCTTGAGGACACAGACTGTGGGATTCCTGACTGCATGCCCAGGCAGCCAATAACAGAGCAGGGTCGGCCACAGTGGGCACCCTGTGAGTACCCCTTGGATTCATGAAGGAGTAGGTGAATGGAACAGTGACCAAGTGGTGGGCAGTGAGGCCTGATTAGGGCCCAGCCCCATTATTTCCAGAGCCCACCACGGTCTAACTGCCTGGCTCCTTCCTGCATTCTGAATGCACACTATAGGGGCCGACTGCTTTTGCTCTTCATGGGTGGACACCCTTCTGCCCAACTCCCCTGGAGGCCTTTGCACAGATGACTCCAGGGTTCTTCCACACATGGTGGGCTGTTTGTGTGAAGGTAGCGCTGGGTTCACACACTCCATGCATGGAGACTCTCAGCTTCAACAGGACAAAGGGCCACTTGTCAAACCTCATTCCAGCCTTGCAAGGGCTCAGCTGCAGCTTCTCATAACACAAGTGGGCGAAGGCTGAACATTCAGAAGGGAGAGCTTGGCGCCTGGCCTTAGCTCAGTTGTTTAAGTGGCTGCTTCCACAAAGCTGTCAGCCTCAGGATGCTGTAGTTCGATCCCGACAACACTCCAGCCTGCCAAACCACCCCTGAGGGCATTCAGAGCAAAAAAAAAAAAAAAAAAAAAAAAAAGGGAGAGCTTGGTGCCTAAATTTGTGCCTGAGCTTGTGCATGAGTATGCAGGATGACATGTGTGTGTCCAGGAGCATGTACAGCATGTGCATGCAAGTGTGTTCATCTGTGCACATATGTGTGCACGTATGTGGAGAGTTGTGTGGCATGGGAAATTTTACCCAAGAGAGAAGAGTTCTTTCAAGGGTATTTGCTGTTTAAAATGATTTCCTTAGGCCAGGGATATACAGCAGCAGAAGTGCCTGCCTGGCAAGTGCAAGGTCCCGAGTTCAATACCCAGTACCACATGCTGTGCCAGCCCCCAGAGCCAGCTGTGGTGGCACGTGCCTGTAATCCCAGTGTTGAGGAGGCTGAGACAGGAGGATCACTATGAGTCCAAACTACCTATTGAGACCTGTGTCAAAAGAATAATAAATAAATAGCCAGAGATGATTAAAAAGCATTTGTGGGGAAAGTTGATCACAAAAGAGCTAATAAAAGCTCTTCTAAAATAAGTATCTGAAAAAATATATGTGGCTTTAAAATAGCCCATTAAAGAAAAAGATATCTATTTGTATTTGGTTATGTCATTCAAAACTGATGTGTTATCATTTTTAATCTGCTAAAAACAGCAATTTCACTTGGACTGACCTAACTTTATAATGAGAAGTGACTTCTTCAGTGGACTCAGAATCAGAATCAATTATTGGATACTGAGTCTAACAAGGTGGATCACTATTGTGTGTTTTGGAAAGGGCATTTTTATTAAAGTAAATGAGTTTCACTAGATTTTCAGTGAGCTTTCATACCCAAAGCTGCAGCATCAACACTTCACAGTCTCTTAAGTTTCAAAAGAAGCACAGCTTGATCACCGTGAATGACTTGATTTGCCGAACGAAGATCCTGTGATCTTGGGACTAACTTGGGAGGGCAAATTATCTTCAGACAGTGTCAGATGAAGATTTTTGGCCAGACTACTTAGATTGCATTGACGCTTGTTTAACCAGTTTCCCCATTTTCTCTAGCAGTGAGTAGCTCGTAGTGTGTGTTACTTGAAGCAAGAAATGAGCCCTTCTGTAACACTGTGTGCCAGCATCCTTCAGGGTTGGGATGTGAGACTGCTTTTGAAGAAGAGACTGATGTTTTCCAAGTTTGGCCTGACAACGTTGCACATAGAGGCTCACCTGAGAACCCAGGCACATTCCCTCACATCATGTGTCACATCATGTCCTATGCGAGCATATCATACCGTACAATATCATATTCCATCAACAGGTCACCTCGCAGCCAACCATCTGGAGTAATACACATAGCTGTAATCTTAGCCTTAAACCTGAATCCCTGCTAGTAAACAGACCAGATGAGATGTGCCTTCAATTACTGCCAATAAAAAAATACCAGATTCTTCAGAAATGAGGAGCATTCTCAAAACATCTAACAGTATGCACTAATTCGCATGTCTGTTTTCCAAGGACACAGTTTAAGCTCTCATTAAGAACCAGCACTGGGCCAGCCAAATAGCTCAGCGGATTAAAACATCTGCAAGCAGGCGTGGGGGTCAGGGGTTCAATCCCCAGGCCTGCCATGTTGGTCCTGCCCCCCTGGGCATGCTGAGACTGCAATTGAAACTGAGCCTGGTGGCATGCACCTGTAATCCCAGCTCTTGAGAGGCTCTAAACAGGTGGATCACTATGAGTCTGATCTAGTAGTGAGACCCTGAACACCCTGTAGACCCTTCCCAAAAACACAAGGAAAAAAAAAAAAAAGAACCAGCACTGTCCTGCTGGGTTTGGTGTTAACAGTGTGCCTCCAGCCCTTGAGAGGCTCTAAACAGGTGGATCACTATGAGTCTGATCTAGTAGTGAGACCCTGAACACCCTGTAGACCCTTCCCAAAAACACAAGGAAAAAAAAAAAAGAACCAGCACTGTCCTGCTGGGTTTGGTGTTAACAGTGTGCCTCCAGCCCACACACCTCAGGCAGGAAGGTGGCTGTCCAAGAGATTAGCAGTTGGGACACTGTCACTCGGCTACACAAAGGTTCTCCACATAGGCCATTCTCATATGAGGCTCTGGCTTTAGCAGGCTGAGCAGGGTGAGCGCCCCACCCTGTGTATAACCTGAAGGCAAATTTTCCAACAGAAATCCCCTTATTGGGAATTTCCTCTTCGCTAGCTTCTCAGGATCTGTGGAACCCTCTTCCCACACAGTAACTTCAGATAGAACAATGGAAACAGACTCAGAAATTAACATGAGTCACTCACTCTCCAAATATTCATTGAGTTTGGAGAGGGGAAGAGATCAGGCCATGGTTTCTGAGGCCCCTGGGTATAAGTTGGGATTCCCCACTCCTCAGGTCTGGGAACTTGGACAAGCCACTGTGTTTCCCAAGGCCACTCTGCCTTGGAGTAAAATGGACAGGCACATTGCATGACGCCTCGCTTTGCACTTAAGCAAAAGACAGGATTCCTGCACTTAGTGTAATTTTGTTCCCTCCACTGCAAGAGCTCTGCCCTCATCAGGAAGATTTAGTGGGGCTGAGCTGACCTCCTGTACTGGCTGCTGCGTGCAAAGGGAAGGGCTTACTGGTAGCAGCTCGAAGGATGGCCCCCATCCACACAAACCCTGCCCGCTGGGCTCCACCCAGCACATTCCCTGCAGGAACTGGCTCCCAGGGAGGGGCGTGGCTGGGAGGAGAGTGAATAAAGCTCCTCAGGTACACCTTGTAAAGCCCAGTCGTCGGTGTGGGCTCCCTCCAAATAGCCAAACCTGCCTTGTGCGCAGCAGCGGGAACAGCTGGAAGCCCACAACTCACTCACACATCTGGGACAGTGCTGGGTCTACACACACAGAGCCAGGTAAGAGTCTCACTCTCTTAAGACTTTCATATGTGACCTGAGGCCCTGGGGCTCCTGTGGTCTGGATTCTATCAGGGCCAGGTGGCGGCTGAGTCCCAGGGTCCTGTGACAGGACTCTCCCTGCCTACCTCCTCCTGCCCACCTCCTTCATTGCTTTTGCCACCTCTCCTGTGATGCCCTCTTCTCAGTCTGGAACTGGACAAACTCGCAGGTGTAAATGAGACCACAGCCCTTTCCCAGACCTGCTGCTTGATCAAACAAAGTTCTGTATGAAAATATGAGTGTAGACTACATGAGTCGTCTCATCCTCATGATATGTGTCCTGAAGGGGTCCTAGTTTTCCTAAGTCTTGACAGTATTTTCTGAACATCCAGGACCAAGGTGAGAGATGACCATGGAGGGGAGGTTAGGATCATAGATGCGGTCTGCTCTCTGTACAGCTCTGGATCTTGAGTAACCGCCTTATCCGCCTGAGGCTTATCTGTCCCAGCTGTTACCTGGGGGTATCATACCAAGAGCTTTGTGGTGGGGTCTTGGTGAGATTAGACAAGATGATAATCCATTACTAAATCAGTGCTTCCCACACAAAGGATATCAAATAGACACAGGCTTCTCTTCTCTCTCTCTCTCTCTCTCTCTCTCTCTCTCTCTCTCTCTCTCTGTTCCTGTCCACCAGATGAAAATCTGTGCAGTGTTGTGTGACACTGAAGGTCGCCCTCTTCATTCAATACTACTTTTTTTCAGAAGGCACTGAAGGCACTTCAGAAGGCTGTATGCATGCCCAGGGCTGTGTCACTGTAGGGCTCCAGAAGTGAATTAGCCATGATCCTTGCCCTCAGCCTCCAGGTCTAAATGACCTGCTTGCAATTCACTGCTCTCCACCCTGGCCACTTTGCCTAGTCAAGTCAGATGACCTCCCCACCTCACGCCTCCTGGGATGCTTGCTTTCTCCTGAAACCTGCATCTATCCCACAGCCCCACCCAGCTCAGGGTGCCAACCGCCGTGCATGAGTGACCTCTGAGTCAACACGTTTTGTGACTTTTCTATGAGTTCACATCCTTTCTCATTTTGTGGACATCCATGTCTTCACAGACTGTGAGATAGAAATCCAGCACCCTGGAGCTAGAAGAGGGTTTGGTGGTTATTTCATTACTTGTTTAATTTTAATTCTTATTAGTGCATGATTGCAGTCCATAGTGACTACATTCCTGGCATGGAGTTGGCACATGAACATAACACAGCTTCGCTCCTTTTGTTCCTTTCACCTCCCCTTTCTCTCCTCTTCCTCCATTTCTTGCCCCCCTTCCTATCTGCAAAACTCCACCTCCCTGTTTTCTATCTTGTATTTTGCTCTTTAATTCATTTATACTTTGAGGTTCCCATAGAAGAGGAACCTTGTGATATTTAAGCTTGTGGTAACTTCACTTAACACCTTGGTGTCCAGGTAAAGGACCTGAGACCCAGAGGGAGAGAGGGAGGGCTGCCCGAGATCAAGTTGAGGGCAGAAATGACACAGGTTCTGTGGTCACTGCCCTGTAAATCTGCCCAAGTGCAAGACCTATGATCGCCTTAGGTCCTGAGGCCCTCTCCTGCTCCGCAGGGTGTTCATCAGCTGGTGTGGTGCACAGGGGTGTGGATGTGCAACCAGCGCATCTTGCCTGCTTGTGGGATTATGTGAGCAAAGGCAGGCAGGGGTGAGGAGAAGAGCTGATAAGGCTCAGAGAGAGGGGAAAGGAAAGGCGGAGCAGAGTAGCTTTCTGATGCTTAAGACTGAGCTCAAGGGACAGGCTGCTCATTTAGTGATTCCAGGGCCAGTCAGCCTCCTCCTAAAGCAGGCTACATGAGTCAGAGTGGCAGGTCAGCCTGCAGCCTGCCTCCCAGCGCTGATGCCCCGGCCTTTGGTCCCACAGGTGCCTGCCTGGTGGAAGCCATGAGGATCCACAACCTCACCTTGCTGTCCCTCCTCCTCCTGACCTCTGAAATGCTCACACAAAAGGTCAAAAATGGAGCAAGGCACAGACAAAGCGGTGCAGCAGATGGGAGCTCATCAAATCTGGACAAGACCCAGAGTTTGAAGAGAGGCGGGCCACCCAAGTCCAAAACCAACATGTTTGTCAGCAGAGATAAGGGAGCCAACTGCACGTGGGTAGAGACTAAGCAAGAGCTGGGGACGGCCCTGCTGGTTGAGTGCACCGGGATGCAGCAACAGTTTTCCTGTGTCTTTGCTGGCAACCCAGCTGAGTGTCTACAGCACAACGGAGGCAATGTCTACTGGAAACAAATCATCCGGGCATTGCGCAAGCAGAAGAACATCTGTGGGGACTGGAAGAGTGTCCTGAAGGCCAAAGTGTGCAGAAAGGGCTTTCCGCAAGCTAATTTAAAACTGAAAAGCTCCACTTTGCTTGAGAATACCAAGCCCAGGAAAGGGAAACCTAAGCCCTCCCCCACAGAGCACCCCAACATTGAAGGGGCTTCCTCCAAGGAGCTACACAAGCCCAAAGAAGATGTCTTCTCTACCCTAGCAGTGACCAAGACAGTGACCACCCAAGGCCCTGAATGTTTGAATGACCGGGATGTGGAAATGCAGAGAAAGATGGCCCTGGATTTCTGTGGGGAGTCCTGGACCTCCCTCTGCACGTTCTTCCTCAACATGTTTCAGGCCACTTCCTGCTAGTGAGGCCAAAGAGACAGACGGCCCCACCACGTGACCAGTGTCAGATGCCCCTTGGCCTGATGGGAAGCCTTGCAAGTTCCCCACAAGAAGGGACCTTGTATTTGGATGTGCAGTTCTATATTTAAACAGATTTTATAGTTTTTGTGTTTGTTTTCAAATTTCCTTTCTATTCACCTCCGAAGGTGTGAGTCTCAGAGACCATGGGCTGATGTTTTCAGAGCCTACAACGCCACAGCCCCAGAAGCAGGGGAACTCTGTCCTCCAGCTGGAAAGCCAGCGTGGTGATTTCAGTGCAAGGCATGTTCTCCAGAATTTACAAGGATAATAAAGCTCTGGGCATTTTATGAAATATGGTCAACCATTGTTTGCTTTCTCCCACTCTGTGAAAGATCTTCCGGCTCATTACAAATCTATCTCAGTATCAGTGGGTGAAATGTCCAAGGGGGACTTCAAATTCCAACCACCCCAAGAAATCTCCTACACCACCTATTCCAGATTCCCTCTTCACAGTTCCCTCTGGGTCTGTGGTATTTGATGCTTATGAGAATGTAATAATTAGGATTTTGTTTTCATATGGGACCTCTTGTGCATTATATGATTCAGTAAGTTGTCAAGATGATAAAAGAGGAGGCAGAACTGGATCCTAGGAACTCTGGCAGCTGAGGCCCCAGGCTTGAAGACTCAAGTTAGAACTGCCTGTAGCCATCCACCATATGCAACACTCCTGACATTGCAGAGCTTTCTAGGTTGGATGGGAAAGGGCTGGTTAGCATGATGCTCTATGATAAGGGATGAATGGAAGGAGGAGAACACTGCATGTAAACCAAGAGGGAAGAGGTAGAAACTGCTAGAAGATCTGGGATTGGTCTTGTCAGAGGAGGCAATTCTGGAGCTGGATTCTGGGGAGATCATGGTCAGGCATAAAATGGGACAGAGTACAGACATGTTGGTGCTTGACAGCAACCAGATGCAGGTTCTAGAAACCGAGAGTGGGCCAGGCTGTGCAGGGATGCTTGGGGAGACTGCTGTCAGTCATTTACATATTACTAGGAAGGTGTCGGTGTTGTTTTAATTAAGAGATAAGGAAAGATGGTCAACTGTTCCCAAGAGAGCAAAGATGGAGTGCCAGGGTTGGCAGAAACACTGTTCATTAGCCTCTCTGTTGGGGCGGAGTGGAATGGCAGGTGGGATGACAGGTGGCCTGTTGCTGTCATTACCATACAGGGGTTGCCAGAGGTCAACCCACACTCCTGCAACCTCACCACAATGTGTGGATATCATTACCAACATCGTAAAACTCATAACTGTCTCTCACTTGCCACGGGCCAGGCACTGTGCTGACCTCTTCCCGGTGATCATGCATTCACCCAGTTAGTGTATTCATTCATTACTCATTCACGCAACGTGACTGATGCCCAGCAGAGTCCTCCCAGGTGGTATCTGAGTGCCTTACTGGTGGGGAAAATGAGGGCGAGGTTAATTGTGCAAAAGACCAGTAAATGTGGGCAAGCCAGGGGCTATGAGTAGAAGACAACAGTGAGATTCAGATGGATTGCTCAGGGGAGGCCTCTGTCTCTAGGTGAATTGTGAGCCTAGATCTAAATGGAAGAATTAAGTCTGGTGTCTCTCACTGGTAAAAGCATTGCAAATCAAGGCAACAGAGCAACTGCCCTTGTATCATAGTTCATGTCTTGACTCACAACTCTAAGCTTCTGCTCTTTGCCCCCTCCAGAGGCATGAAACAGCACAGACAATACCATCATTACAATTTCCGATGACTGAGGTAGTACTTGACACGCTGGAGCGATGTTGAAGATTTTCATATCACGGTAGTAGGATGGGGTCCTGGGTCTGACCTGAGAATGTTATTATCAACTTCAAGAGACTGAGCCAACATCTTCCACCTTCCCTGCTGTAGGTTAGATCTGCAAAGTCCACTAAAGGCTTGGTCTTCAGGCTGTCATGCTACAGGAGGTGGTAGAACCTCCAAGAGGCAGCAGGAAGTGAGGTCATAGGTGTGCCTTGGGGGGATACTGAGAAGATGCTCTCTTAGTACTGTGCTGTCACCATGAAGCACTGTGCTAACACAGGCCATGCAACTGGGCTGAGTGACATGGATGGAAACCTTTGAGCACCTGAGCCCATGATCTTTTTCCATTATTAATTTGCTTATCTCAGGTATTTGTTCCAGAGACAGAAAGCTGACCCACCCACTTCTCCTGCTCCCTATAACCACGAAAGCAGAGGAGGTCCATAGAGTCCTCAGCTCTGTCACCTACCTTCCCAACTGGTAACTCATCACAGTAGAGTCCTGAGATAGGAAAACCTCTAGACTCTTTCTAGGATCCCTAAAGAAAAAGTCTGGTCTGGTCTGAGTTGGTGTAAACATTGAATAACCCCCCAGATCCAAAGCTTCCTCCACCCACTCATAGCAAGACTGCATCAAATGCACTTCCTGTGGTCCACCGCTTGTGTAGTAGGTGTTCAACCTGAGAGGAGATGGAAGTCTACAGCATGAGACTGGATGGCGCATAAATTGAAGGATAAAATTTCTAATTAAAACTCCTTAACTGGATTGAATTAATTTCTGCTCTAATTTTTATAATTTCCTATTGTCTTTGGGCTTTGGGTTTGGTTTGCTCTTCCTTTTCTACATGTTTGATTTGCAGCATTAGGATATTTATTTGTTCCTGTACTGTTTTCCTAATGTATGAGTTCACAACTATAAACTTCCCTCTAAGAACTGCTTTCATTGCATCCTATAAATTCCAATAAGTGTGTGTGTGTGTGTGTGTGTGTGTGTGTGTGTGTGTGTGTGTGTTTGCGTGCACATGCAATGGGAGTTGTTCTATGAGGTAAGAGGAACCAAAAGGTACCTTGCCTGCAACCCTGTTGCCCCTCAGAAATGGAGCTGTCTCTCCTCCCTCATAAACTGACTCTCAGCAGACAGAGGGCCCCTTCCCTCTGGCACCAGCTCTGTGTGTGTGCTAACTCACAAGCACATCAGTGCCAACTTGCGTCGCTGGAATCCAGAAAATCACACCTGGCCTTATTCCCATCTTCCTTCTTCCCTAACCTCCCTCCTAAATTGTGTTGGCAACAAGTGCAAAATACCAAAATGGGGCTGAAAGCTCCCACACAAGGGCAAGTCCAACCCTCCTCTGACGTGTGTTGGTTTCCATTATGCCTCATGTACAAGGCCCAACCTGAAATATCACCCTCAAAACTATGTCCTGCAAGAATATACAAGAAGGTATTTACTAGGCTTCTTCTAAATGAGGCATCAAGACGGAGGAGGTGGAGAGAAGATTCTAGAAAAGGGCTGATTCCCGACCTAGAGAATGTAAGCTCTGCTGTCCAAGGGGAGTTTTCATAAAGTAGAGAGATATGCAGGTAACGGCAGGGCAGAGATGAAGCCTGCTATGTCCGTCCCCATAGGGCCAGCCCTTAGCGTGTGGTTGACAAATGTTACACCTTCTACAAATATTGATTGAGGAAGTAAAAATAAGAGAAGAAATCATGGCAAAGGCAAAGATTATGGGCTTCAGCATAAAAAATAACCTGGATTTGTATTTCTACCTTTGCAACCCAAGAAAAGTTATTCCATTTCAAGTTCCCTATCTCTAAAATGGGACAAAGAGTATGGATCCAGCAAGAATTGTACTTCCAGCAGTGGTGACACCTGGGAGGCTGAAGCAGGACGATCTCCATGAGTTTGAGGCCAGTCTGGACTACTTAGTGAGTTCAAGGGTAGCCTGAATTATACAGTGAGACCCTGTCTCAAAAAAAATTGTACATAATGGTGTACATAATTAACACGCAGCACACGTCTGTACAAGCAAGGATGCTCACTAAGGCAGGTCTTGTTATAACTGAGTGAATGAATAGATCAGTTAGCTGAGAGGGGATAAGAAGGCAGTTTTTCTAGGAAAGCTGCACAAGCCCAAAAAAGGACCATGCCAGGAGCCTGCTTGTGAAACGGAGCCTGGCTGTCCCTTATCGTCTCCCAAAGCCCACCTTGTACATGGGCGCCTTTGGGACAGCCATTCTTGCCCTGAGTGGAAACACTTCCCCGGATGTACAGGGTGGGTGGGATGAAGCAAGCTCTTCCGACCACCTTCAGGACAGTGTCATTGTGCCTCCCAGCCCCCTCCCCGCTGCCCTCTTCTCTCCCACACCTCCAGCTTGAATGTTTTGGGCTCGGTCAGCACCTACTCCCAGGTTATCTCTCCCGAGTCATCGTCCCACGTGCCACCACATGCCGGTGATGCCACGTTTCTATCCCCAGCTGGAACTCTCTCCTTACCTCCTACCTGCAAGAACATACAAGAATGTGGTTCGGGTGTGCGAGCCACATTCCTGGTCTTTCCTGACTCCAGCTCATCTCCAGCCTCTTCCCAGCTCGGCTCCTAGAGACCCCGCCCTCCGCAAGGCTCAGGTCGCCGCCCTTGAGCAATCACATTCGACTCTTCTTGGGTTTTCTATCCAGTTCACCTACAAGTCCTGCCAGCTCCATTTTCCAAACTTTATTTCAAGACACAAGCCACGAAACTTTGCCTCCCGAGCTGGGTCCTACCCCAGCCTCTCCCTGCAGGTTAGAGCAGTGCTACCCTAATGGACTCCCAGCGACGGTCTTGCCCCAGCACAGAGGCCAGAGAAACCCCTTCCACCTCATCACTTTCCTTCTCTGCCGAAATCTTTCCATGCTTCAGCATCAAATTCACAGGAAGCACCACAAAAATGCTTTCTGCGTCTTCCAAAGCTTTGAGCCTGGCTCCCCTCCTAGCAGACCTCCTATAATCCCAAGCCTTAGAATTCGCTGCTCCTGAAGCTCTCCCAGGTGCGCCTGTCTCAGGCCCTTCGGGCTCGCTCTGCACCCTCATCTCATGGCTCTGCCAAAGGTCACCTAATTCCAACTCTGCTTTTCCTCATTCCCATGAAGACCCAGGCTGTCACCCCAGCTGCCTGTGTCTCATGTTTGCTGGTTTATTTGTCTCCCCGAGAGCGCAGGCTTCATTCTGCTCATTGGTGATTCTCTTGATTTTATACAGTGCCTGCACCCCAGTGTGCATATGTAGCTCTTTTAAGGTAGATCAGAGTTAGCACAAGAGAATTGATTCAATGTAGACAGCCCTTGGCCTCCATTCCTAGCCTAGCACTGTGGGAATCAGAATCATGACATTCCTTGTGTTTAATAGGGATCAATTTCCTTACCTAGAAAACAACATTGGGAAAGCTGTTTCTTATAAAATAAATGAGCCAAGAATAGATAGTATGAAGCTGTCTGCTAAGAACATAATTGATCAAAAATACATTAATGATGGTGATGATGAGATGATTATTGTGCTTGTATATCTTCCTGTCCTAAGGGCATGATGCTTCCTCTTCCCCAGGGCCATGATATAGACAGTAGGATCTTCAATTAAATGCTTTGGTGAATTTAATTATATAGGCTTTGTCTTTGTGGTTTCTACTCTACTAAGCCAATTAGGAGAGATTTGATGGTAGGAATATATTTTGAAAAAAAAAATTGGAGGAATCCAACCACCAAGAAT